AAAAGGTTGTGCATTCGCGTGCGCGACAAAACTTGCTGGGAGAACATGTGTGGAATGCCTCCACAAAATGATGACGCAATCAGCAGCTCACCAAAAAACGTTGCAGGTTTTGGGTGCAATGCCAAATCTCAGCATCACGACAAAAGTCCCCACCTGGCTTGTGCGTCGCACCCTGCGCCGCCCAGGCCCTAGCTCCCACAGCTCTGAAGATGCCACAAGCAGTCCTGCCGCACCAAAGGGGCATGGTGGGCTGGCAGGGGCGGGTCTGTGGGCAGTGGATCCTGGGCGGGCATGGTCCTGAGGGTTGACGGCACGGGAGAGCATTGGCACCGCAGCCCTCGCTTCTTATGGCTCCGCTGCCCCACATCTGGCGCTCCCAGTAGCGTTGGTTGAAGCCTAGCGGCACCCCAATGGTGGGGTTTAGCACGCCCTGCAAGGGGCAGACGGGCCAGCCCGTTTTCACATACCCTCAGGCCTGGATGGCCGCATGCGCTGCATTTCTGCACTGCCGGGTTGCAAATGTTGCAATCCTGCAACAGAAGGACCACATCAGGAACTTAACAGATGGTATCAGAGTGTTATATACGTCAGAAAATGGGAACAGTTGGGCTATATATTGCGATTGAACACGTACAAAGTAAGGTTCAAAACGAAAGGCACCGTTCGTTGAAATGGGCAACGAAACGCATTGGATCATGATGCCAGACCTGCTACAAACATTGAAGGAAGAGCTCAACGCGTAGTAAGCCAATGATTGAAGACGATATCCAACAAGAAGCAGGCTGCAAACCGAATCCCCCCCCACCCCCCGAAAAAAACAGGGGGCCCTCGAAAAAGTGTCAGAATTGGATGCATGTTGGGAGTGCCCTATTTCCTTTGCCCGTATGACACACAATGTATTCAGTAAAGGTAAAGTAAAAGGTTGTGCATTCCCGTGCGCGACAAAACTTGCTGGGAGAACATGTGTGGAATGCCTCCACAAAATGATGACGCAATCAGCATCTCACCAAAAAACGTTGCAGGTTTTGGGTGCAATGCCAAATCTCAGCATCACGACAAAAGTCCCCACCTGGCTTGTGCGTCGCACCCTGCGCCGCCCAGGCCCTAGCTCCCACAGCTCTGAAGACGCCACAAGCAATCCTGCCGCACCAAAGGGGCATGGTGGGCTGGCAGGGGCGGGTCTGTGGGCAGTGGATCCTGGGCGGACATGGTCCTGAGGGTTGACGGCACGGGAGAGCATTGGCACCGCAGCCCTCGCTTCTTATGGCTCCGCTGCCCCACATCTGGCGCTCCCAGTAGCGTTGGTTGAAGCCTAGCGGCACCCCAATGGTGGGGTTTAGCACGCCCTGCAAGGGGCAGACGGGCCAAGCCCGTTTTTGCACCCCTTTAGTTATGGATGGCTGCATGTGATGCATTTCCATACGTCCCTTTTCCAAATGTTGCAATCCTGGAACAAAATACCAAACCAGGAACTTCACACATGGCAGCGGAGGTATATGCATGTGAGAAATCTAAAGAAATCCAGACATTTGTTTTTATACGGAAGTTTTATAATATAACATGTTTTATTGTAATATATTATATTATATACTTTCCCTTTTTGTACATTTTTTTGTTATAATATACTTTTTTGATATATTTTTGAGTATACTAATATAATTTGTATCTCTATATATATATGCATGTATATGTATATATATATTATATATTGATATAATTTTAAAATAAAATAATGTATTATAATATTTTACATTGTATTTAATTTTTTAATATATTTTATTATATTGTATTTTATTTTTCTTTATAATAATAATATAATACAATACAATATATTATAATATAATTTAAAGTATTTTTTGTAATATATATATTTTACATTTTATTCTATTATATTTTATTACATTTTTTATTACGTTACGTTACATTACATTACGTAGTGTCGATTTGTTCATCGTATCATTATTGTCTCATACTGACGAAGGCAGGCAGGGTCGAGGGTTGGCAATCCCTGAACGGGAATCGTACCCTCGAGTCCACGGCAACGGTTTACAGCCGAGGCAAACAGACACCAAGCGTTCTGTCTTTTATATTCAGTTCGTTCATCAACATCCTTATTGAAATTCCCAATGCTTCATCATCTTTTCATACATTCAAATAATAATAACACTCAATCAGTTCCAGTTGTAACAATACCAAATACTATTATCGGTGTTGATGAGTCGCCGCGTTCGTGAAAACTCATCGACCGGTAATGGTCATGGCGAATCCAATGCAAATGAATGCAGCTTATTGCAATAATAATGAAGCAATTTTTGATCTTTCGAATTTCACAAGAAAATGAGCAGGCGACCTCTGAACCCGTAAAAAGCATCTCACAATGCACTGGCAGTACTGAGCTAATGCGGGGGCTGATTTGGGTTGACAAATCGGGATGAAATTCGGCCCGCGTGTAACTACAGCCAACGCATGTATGTACGCAGGTGCGCAGCGACGTCAAATTCCATAAAGCAGCCATACCAAAGAACAAAATGTGCGAGACCGAGGGCCTCGCAATTGGCGAGGTCGCATAATGTACGTCGTGTCGCGGGTCAGTTTCGTTGACTTCACGAGAGCAAGTCACGGCGGCGCATAAAGGAGTTCACCACGGCTCAAGCGCGCTCGCTAATCGCCGCTGCACCAAGGGCGGGACACGCGCCGGCCTCGCTGCAGCGGTCAATGCCCTGAGACGCGCCCTCCACGAGCACACATACCCAAGCTGTGTATGCGCGGCCCCTCCTTCGGCGCAATGCAGCCACCGCCAGGATGCCAGAGGCTGCTGACTTTGTGGAGTCCTCGTTCGCGACGTCGCAAGCCAGTGCTGGGCTTGAATTCAAAGAGAGCTGGTCAAAGAGGGCTGCAACTGAGAAGCGGTCAGACCACGGGGGCGCGGGGTATATATACCCGAAGGTTCCGGACGCTCGGGTCGCTATTTGTCCGGGTCAGCGCGACGTGGCGTTCCGGGTCAAATTCAAGAGTGGCTTGATGGGTCTTAAAGTACGCCCGGGCGGTCAAAGGTGTGCACAGGGCACGCGCCAGGCACGCGCCTGCGTGTTGATGAACGCAGCTCCTGGCGCCGCTTGGGGAAGGCGGTCAATCGAAGGATTCTGATTCTTGGCTGTCATCGACAATCGCATTTAGACTTCAGAAGTTAAGTATGGCAATTGAAAGGCACTGAGGGCTCCTTTACCAATCACCCATCTCTGCAATTGCAACAAGCATCTACCACAGGAGCTCATCAATTCAAGAATGGCCGCCAGCCATGTCCCCAAGCATGCATGTGGGGACAATTTTGTGCACAAACAACCCCTCTCACACCCTCACATGTCTCACATGCTTCTCAAGAACGCTAAACTGACCAAAACCTCCGCCCGTCTCATGGCACATTGTACCACCAAGGGCAGAAAAATGCAGCAGATACCCAGCCTCGAAGCTAGTTCGCGAACTCCCTTTCAAATCATCAGAAACCAGCCTCCTAAGCATGGAAGGTGCTTGTCGTAATTGTTTGATCTAGCATGAAATCTGCCACCTGGTGGCTGCATTTGACATGCCCAACCCGCCTCCTAGACCCCGGGGGCGATCCCTCGGTGACTGTTTCAGGCCTGAAATGGTTGCCAGGATTTTGTTTGCCAAGTCCTCGGATGCAAAATCCTCTGAGCCGCGCCAGTCGCCAGTCTAACAAATCGACCATACAATGACTAATCCAGTGTCCTTTACAAGCTCGGACCGCCCCATGCGCTGCACACGCGACGTCCTCTGACTAACCCAGCGTCGTGGCTTCGGATGGTCGTGCGGGCTATCCAGATGATTCTCAAGGCCTTGAGTGGCAGTTTAACACAAGCGAGTTTGAAAATGATTTAGTGTGCTTTAAAGCACACCCGTCAGTATCGCCCAAGAGCGCTGGTGAGGCACTCAGAGTTCGAACCTCGACCGCTTTGGCAGCCTAGCCACAGCCCAAATTTCTGCTGAGACGATCTCAGTGGCATGTTGCCATGGAGACTGCAGCCTTCGCGTTGCTTTGGATTTTCCTGAGCTGAATTCACTGTTATTGTCCACGACCCGGCGTTCTGTTTGCATCCGGGAGTGCAGTAGTGTTGCCCAAGGCCCGGAGGACTGTTTGCGGCCAGGCAGCCCGCTGCTGCACTCACAGTTTGGGCTGGACTCTCCACTTGGGAGTTCAAAAGAAAAAACGCGCTTACCTGGGGACTCCCCAGGGGAAGGTGTTTCCCTTTTGAACCGAAATGCACAATGGGCGAGCTTCTGGGAGAATGCCTATCGGTAGCTGGCGCTCACCATGGGTGGCCAACTGTCACAGTATGCAGACGCCCTGTGAGCGCCACGGTCACAGCAATCTGGGATTTCAAACTCAATCAGTGCACACTGCATTCGTTTACCTTGGCCCACCATGGTTCGCGGTTCGTGTTCATCACATTCGCGTTCCGACCTATGCCAAATTGAATCCACAAGCGCCACGATAAAAACGATCAATACTCTGGCCTGGCCCCCGCAACCCTCTTTCTTTCTACACCCTCCCGTGTGGAAGTTTTCTCCCTCCTGCACACTGCTCATCCTCGCCGTCTCATATGGGCGAATCGCATCAGCTGTCCATGCCTCTACCTCTGCGATTTCATGGCCACTCAACAACCGAGCGCCGCGGCCACCCATGACTGCACCCTACACCCCAGGCCGAAGCTCCCCTGCCTCCTCTCCCTACCCACCACCCCACCCCGGCGTTAGGACACAAAGCCGCTGCCAGCACGCCAAGATTAAGTTCCGCCCCAGTGCCCGCAGCAAAACTCCTGCACAGATTTCAGCCGCATCACCCCCATAAGCGTTGCTCCACTGAGCGCGGTCGACTGGATCGACGGCGCCGATCGGTGCAGATCCCATTAACACGGTCACGCTCGGGCCCTAAACCCGAGCTTGGGCCTCAGGGCCCAGGCGTCGCGAAACACGTCGCACCCTCACAGCACGAAGACCAGGCCCGCCAGCACGCCCACGACGAAGAACACCGCCGCCACAGGCCCCGTCCGCATGATGAACTCCCCCTCGCTCTGCTGCAGGCCCAGCACCGTGCGCGCGCTGATGATGTTGTTGATGCACACCATGTTGCCAAGCGTGGCGCCCACGCACTGCAGCGCCAGCAGGCCGCTCACGGGCGTGCCCATGTTCTTGGCGGCCACCAGCTGCACGGTGCCGAAGGTGAGGTTGCTGACGGTGGTGCTGCCGGAGAAGAAGCTGCCAAGGGCGCCCACCACGGGGGCCAGGGCGATGAAGCCGTCCTGGACGGCGTCCGAGAGCACGGAGCCGATGATGAAGGCGGGGGAGCCGGGGCCGCCGGTGCGGATGAGGCCCACGAGGACCAGGGCGCCGACCAGGGAGACGGTGATGGAGCGCACGCGGGCCAGGGTCTCGCGGAAGGGGGTCCACCACTTCACGCCCGGCACCAGGTCCCTGGGAAACGAGGTTTGCACGGGGGCTGGTGCTTCAAAACAGTCGATGCGCTGACGTGTTTATGCATGTTCGGGGCATCGAAGGGGGGTTCATCCGCGCAACGAACGTCGACCAAATGATTTCTGACTGTCGGTTATCCATGCGTCGATTCGTTTTCTTGCACACCCCCTCCATTCCGTATTCAATTTATTCTAAGTTGCAGCCACAGCTGTTCACTGTGCTCGTTAAGCAGTGCTGTTGCAGATTTTAGAACAAAAACGTTAATATGCACCTTTGTCGGGATGGGACCTTTTCAAGCATAAAATGACAGGCACAGCAGCCTGAAATACAGAAGCAATGTGCAGGTATTGGACGCAAATACAAGAAAGGTTCCCATTCGGATGATAGGAGGCGAGAATGCAACAAGTTTGCTCCTAGCGCCGGCGCATGCATCTGCACAGCACGGCGTCAGTGAACCTGAGCAGGTTGGCCGTTTCACGCAATTTTATCCTCGGTCTGAATCACGTAAATTCCTGAAAATGGCGCAATAAAAGTGGCAATGGTGTTTTCTCAGTATACAGCATACTACATTTACATTATTATGTGGCATTTGGACCGTGGTGGTGCTGCCATTGTACGCCAAGGTGAAGAATGCCGCTCCGGGACAGTGCTCGCAGCTTGTTGGACTGAACAAAGCAAGGCACAGCATGGACATAGTCACGAAGGAACGCACGTTGCCTGCGAGGCCCGCTGAGGCGCGCACCCACCTCTTGTAGAGGGCGATGGTGAGGGACGACACCACGACGAAGGGTAGTATGAAGGGTACGTACAGCATCTGATACGACCACGCCACCTGCTCCTCCAATATGCCCGAGAGGCTCACAACCAAGGCGGCACTCACGCGGAAGTCGCCCAAAGTACCCAAGTCGACTTTGAGGTGGGGGTCTTCCTTCTGCAACAGGTCCTTGACGCCAATCTGCGGGATGCGGGTGATGACCAGGAGCAGGATCGTGCCCCATAGTGGCATCGTACGGCCCACAGGGCCCAATGCGGCGGTCCATCCGTGCACCTACGCATTTGAACGACCGTCCCTTTGGTGAAGTCTTCCAAAGCAACAAAATACCTCCTCGCCCGCAAGCCAACGAAGGGCGAAGGCAGCAATAGCGCAAATGATCCTCCACTGGTGAATCACTTGGATTTCTAATGAGCAAATCATGGACGCTGTTTCTCTGGGCAGATGGGGGACCTGACAGACCCCTCCTCGCCTTGATATGAAATTTCTTTGAATTTGTACTGCATTTGTGATTTGTGTGATTGATATAAATATCGATCAATTAAATCTAATTTCCCTAATATTGAATTGATGCTCCATGACCAGTCATGGTGTGCGACACGCCAGAACTGTCGAAACTGCAGATGGGCAAATGTCTTGTCATTTCATCTGTCCAATAAATAGAAAGGGCCAGACCGGTCCCAGGCATACAAAGAGTTTCCCAATTTGATGCATTGACAAGTCCGTGAAGGGATGTGTGACTTGACGTCACATTGCTTGAGTCTTCTGATCGCATTCGCCAAAGAGACAGTCCTGTCTCTTTGTCCTGCCGAAACTTGTCCTGCCAAACCACTGGCCTCGCACCTTGAAGACGTTGTCGGGGACAATATGTCGCTCCATGCGAATGCCAGTTTGGACCAAACACAACCTGAAAAAAACCAGTTCCAGGGACAACAAGAAGACCAGAGCCAGGCATCCCTATGTACGATTTCTCATTCAGTTTTTGTAACATTGTATTCAATGCTGAATATGGAATTGTAAGGTGTATTTTGCTTCCAACGTAGAGCGCAATATTTGATGAATTGAACGCCAACAAAGGCAAATTATGTTGAACGCCAGCACCTGTGCATTGCCCTTCCCTTACTGACAGAACCACCAGCCCAATGAATGGTGGGTGCCTTCAACACATGCATGGGTTCATGTACAATGCCAAGGGACAGGTGCCATGTACACACATTCCACACAGCGCTGCCGCATCTGTCCACAGTACAGTTCGGTATCAATTGCGCTGCTTGTGACACGTGTGCTGCTGTGCCAAATTCAACTGGGAATCGACGGGTTTGATAGGGAAGTCTCCAATGCCGTTCAAGAAACGCTAGAATGGACAATGCTGATCTTCGAACACCGAGACAATGCAACGAACAGTGCTGTGCTCACGGCGTTGTGTTTGCGTAGCCTCCCAGTGAACGCTTAAGACCAGGATCGAGTGTGCTTGATATGTGCAAGGTGCTGGACAATTCTGAATCGGCCACAAACTTGGTCGACTGGTCTGCAAAGGTTCCTGCATAGATCAAACACTACTGGTGTTTCCCAAACATCTCGGGCTGACTGCATGGCTACATCTTTCAATACATGAGTTCAAGCACGGAGGCAAGCCTTATGTAGGGATAGATGAGTTGTCAAAACCCAAGGGCGCTCTGAATCAGAAAGAGCAGCCACCGGAGTTCCTTGTGGACCATGTTCTGCAATGGGCGTGTATGTATACGTGTGATTGGGGTGGGGAGGTGGGTGGTGGGTCGGGGTGTGGTGGGGAAGGTGGCGGTGGGGAGGGACTACCAAGAAATACAAGCCAGGAGCAGAAAAAATGGGATCAAACAAAGCAAAACAGCATACAGAGCAACAAGCGACATGGCAAAGTGATGCTTTTCCACGCAGCACTGTGCAACCCAACATCTTCCCCTCTCCAATTGGCCACATGACAGCAACTGCAGCACAAAAATTCGCCTGCCCTCCACACCTTGCGACTTCTGGGATCTGGGGCCATCTCCACGTTGAGTGCAACCATTCCAGCCCCTGCCTCGTCTGCCGAGTCCAGCGATTCATGGTGGCTTTGCTGACGGCTGGAGTTGTTCAATGAGACGGCTGTCAGGCTCATCCTTTCCTCGTTGGCCTGTGGGTCGCTGGCCACAGACTGCGCCGATGGCACTGGCGACGGCTCGACCTGTGCAAGCAATCATCCATGCACCAAAGACATTCATGCTCTTGTCAGCTGTGCTGTCGGTCTAGCAGCGTTTCTCGCCAGAAACGCGTCATGCAAACTGCGCTGCTGAGGTGCGATCCTGAAAGCAGGAAGTGTGAAGTGAGGCTCTTCACATTGCTGGTCGTTACAAATCAATCAACTTACTTACCACTGCTAGCCACACATTTACCTATCATGCGCTTGGTTCAATGTTCTTCTCTTCTCTCAGTTTACGCCACCAAAGCTCCAAAGAAATTGACCTAACAGACTTCATGAGCGCGACAGGCAAAGTACCAGTCCTGAATGCGTTATTCAAGTCTGAAGTGGAATAATTGAGCTGGGTGTCTTAACAGTGCACTCGACAACAAAAGCACAAACATCTGCAAACTGCCAATCAAGGGTGCCATGGCTTCAATGCGAGTGGCTTTCATACAAAGACAGCACATGAGCTGAACATCTCTCAGCATGGTGGCATCAACAGATACATTTCTTGCACTGCAGACATCGCACAAGCCAACACAAGCTGATGGCTTGAACATGGATTTGAATAGGGCACAGGATTTTCAAACAACAGGGACCATAAAATCCTGAACAAGCTTACATGTAACATTTTTTATGCACATTGCAATGATAGTGTGACAGTCCCAGATTGAAGCTGCAAAAGCACACACATCAATGAGCGCCGTGAGCACAAGCAACAGGTACCATGAGCTGCACAACAATGCACACTGCCAGGGGCCTGGAGAGGTATCCTGTTATGCCCTTGTGGAATCGTGCTAAAAAGCAGCCACTTACCCCACTCCCTGTCAAGGAATCTGTCTGGGTGCCTCTCGTAACCATTCGCATTTTGAATGTCGATGGGTCGTTGGTGATGGGGAAAATAAAATGGTTCTTCACCCTCCTTCCTGTGCTCTCATGGAAGAAATCCCCAGGGGTTGATTCAAAAGAAGCCTGCCGGTGGATGTGAGGGAGTTCCCTTGCAACAGCAAGCGTGGCCACCTGAATTGAGTTTGAGCGTTCCATTCTAGGGGACAAAGAATCAAGCTTTGCCAGCGCAGACTTCTCTTCAGAGGTAATCAATAGTTGCCTGCTGGGCTGCTCTCCTGCCTTGGCGGCGGGGACCAGCCCAATGCCCCTCTTAGCCAAAAGCGCAGTGATACCCACTCCAACAAGTCCGCCTGCAGTGTCGACATGAGCAGCAAAATGGACGGTGAGCAGTGGAACGCCATCACATGCCCAAGAAGGACACACAGGCACACAGGCACCAATGAAACACAAAGTGGGGTGGGTGGGTGTGGGGTTACAGCAATGATCAGGAGTTCTGCTTAGCGCTCAGGTATCATCACCATATGGGCAACGTGCATCACACACATGACAACACAAAGCTACTTGCAAGATGCCACTCAGGTGGGATTGATCAGCTTCCCGACTATGAATATGACTGGCTGTTGCTGTGGCATGCTCCATACGGAGTAAAGGCCTCACCTTCAGCAGCACAAGGCAAAATAAAAATGGACACAACAAATTGCAACATTCACCATGTCGCATTGCAACTGCGGTGGTTTGTCACATTTTGCAGTGGTCCTTGTCACATGTTGCAGTGGTCCTCGCAAATATTTTGTAAACAGACGATTCAATCGATCCAGTGTGCCATGTGGCCTCACCCATTATGGAGCTGAACTCGAACGACACGAAAGACAACGCTACGGCCGGGATCACACACGACCAAATGCTGAGCAGCACAAAAAGCCAGTTCCTTCGCAGGTCATTCCATGACACAAGGAAGGTGGCAGCCAGCAGTGGCACGATGTGGGCCACCACGGCATCAATGACGGATGTCTTGAAACCAACGCGAATTAGACTGTCGTCCGAGAGGCCCAGGGTGCCAAATCCGAACCAGATTGGCGTTCCAACCGCACCTGCAGTCCAGGAGAAGGTAACAGCAAGGCAAACATGTCACACAATGGGTGCTCCCCTCTTGCACACGAACATTGTTGTATTCTCCTTGGTACAGCCAAAAAACTGGCACAGAATCTCCAACTGCAACACAAGCGAATGCCAGATACATGTTTTAAATGTGGTACGAATTTGAGTTGCTCTCATCCAGCACAATGGTCACAAATAACAGTATCCCTGTGTTGTCATGGGCTTCATGGGGCCTATCCTTGTCACACACACTGTCTGACAGCTATGTTCTCAGTTGGCCTTTCTACAGTAGTAGAACAGCTTGTGCTGGCAGCTGCTACAGAATCTACAGAGCCAAACACTTGGATTCAATGCAGTGTCCCAATTCAGCAGTGAATGAAAAACCCACTTTCTAGCCTGCCATGCTCTTTGGGCATCCTTGGCATCCAGACACATCGTACTTGGCAATGATGCAGTACATACTTGCTTTTAACTCGAGCTAGCCAACCAACTTTGCAACTTTCTGGCACAGCAATGGAATAATGTGCGGCAACTGCATATCATAGTAATTTCGATTTCCAGGTATGGGTTGAACAGAGGCTGCATGTCCCACTGCTGTCAGTACATTCTAGCACAAGGAAGAGCTGCTGATGGGCTAGCCATCTCTGTCCCTCAATGCCCACAGCCTGATGCATGCATGTGTGGAGCAAAGCAAGGGAGTGTCATACCATAAGGGGTGGCGAGTGTATTCATGATGAGCAGGCACAGTACTGACTGAAAGGGGGCGTGCCCCAATTCAACCAGCATCGGAGCGCCCAAGGCGACAGGTGTGCCGAATCCACTGGCCCCTGATCAGTTTGGCACACAATGCATATGGTACGTGAACACACTTGGAGATCATAAAATGACTTTGGGCGTGATGCATTTTGTAAGCAAGCAGGGCCGCATTGAAGGTGTTAGTTCAGCTGCAAGTATGCAACTGTCACCATCCGGAAACACCATCGAATTAAGATGAGGTACCATTTCTCTTCCCAAGGGCAAACTTCCACATGTCTTGAAGCTCTACGAGGCTGCAGTCCACATGACTCATAGTGCAATGCTCCAACATGGACACTTGGCTGTTAAAATAACAGGCAGTTCGAGACAGCAGCGAACTACATCGGCATCAACAAGTTTACAGGCCTCAAGTGTCTATTTTGCGCCGTTTTCTGCTTTCTACATCATCTGGCATTGAAAACTTGCAACACAATGCAGACCTGCTGTTCATCCAGTATTTTTGTGACAATATTTCCATACCTTCGATAAGGTATGCAAAGGCCCACCCAATGAGGAACACCTCTGCCACCGGGTGCCCATTTGTGCCTCCCTTGATCTGCTCGATGATGTACGGCAGGCACATGGTGTACTGCATTGTTGAAAACAACAAGATGGCGCCGCCGATGATCGTGAGGGGCGTTATGGCCTCAAGGGCCCCAGATATTACCTGCATGTTCAACATGAAGTGGGCAGATGACCCCTTAACACACTGTCCACTTAGTTTTTTGCGCGAATGGCTGGAATTCAACAACGAAACTGTGGGTAGGAAAACGCTGAGCGGCAGGTTGCCTTGGCAGAGAGTTCAGATCTCAGAAATCTCCTGAACGCCGTTCGGTAGAAGACGTCCAGCGGCAGGAAGATTATTGGCCGTTTTTAAGAAGACGAAACGCGGCAGCGCAAATGTGGTTCAACGAACTACCAGCGGCGACTGGCGCAGTCCACAAATTCGACGACATTCATTGCCAAGCAAAGCGTCGCCAACAGCCCCAAGTACACTCTCATCAACCCGCCGGTCTCCGCCGACTCGCATCGATCACAAGCGGCCGACTGCAAACCAAACGCGCCGCAAAACGGCGTCCCAGTAGCTCGCTTCCCCGAGGTGCTGCCGCCGCGGCACCCATCGCCTCGCCCTCCCCCCCCCGGCCCCCGACCGCAATCCCTCACAAACCCCCCTCACCGCGGCATTCACCAAGTTGGGCTCCGAGCTCAGGTACGCCAGCCGCACGCCCCACATCATCGCCGCCGCCAGGGGCAGCGACTGAGTGGTGGGCATGCGGAAGCTCTGAGACAGCGTGACGAAGACCAGGAAGGCCAGGGGCGCCAGGCACAGGACGACGTCTGCGGCGCCATGCCAGGGGCCCCCCTCCGGATCCTGCGTCGCGTCGATCTCGTCTTCGGCCATGCCGATCACCCCCTGCGCGCGAGGGCGGCCGGACCTGCGAACGCGGGGGCGATGCGTGGACTCCCGACTCGGAGGCCGCCAGGGATCGCGACACTGGGAGCGACTGAGGGAAGGCGCGTGGAGATTCGAGAATGGATTGATGCGCGATCCGGAGGCCGAAGGTTGCCGGAGTTTGAAGGTTAGCGCGTTACCGTTGCCGTCCACGGCGCCGCCTCGCGTTTTCCGGCGGGCTGGGGGCGGGGGCGACTGGAGGCTGTGGGGCTGGGGTCGTCGTGGCCTCGAATACTGGAGTCAGCAGCGCACGAGCCTTGACTCACAGCCCCCCTGCCCATCATGACCACCAGGCGCGAGCGCCATGACGAAGCTTGATGACAAATGGCGTACTAGGTTCCCGCCAGCTTGTTCCTTTTTCGGCGTCGCGGCTGCAGTAATGGGTGCTCCTAAGGCCGCCTGCGTTATCTTGGTTCCTTTGGTTGCGCAGTTTGCTGACGTCGCATGGCCCTTGCACCCTGTAGGTGATTACGAGCACGCCAACGTCACATCACTGTTCAGCATGAGCATGGGTTCCCATCCCCAATCGCGTGTGTCGAATGCCACGTTATCAAATTCTTTTCCACCGGCGAATTTACGAAAGTGGTGCAAATTCGTGTTCGGTTCTCTAGCAAAAGCTATGAGTTAGATGGAGACACAATTCTTCGCATAGCAGGCCAGGCAGCTAGGTAGCATGGCTAGCGTGTGCATTCCACTAGTAGTGCGGTGTGGGAACTTTGGTGAATCTGTCCGTATTGCATCCGTGTTCGGTGTAAGACAAACAGAAGTCGCTTTTTATCTGCCTACGACTCTATGAGGAAATTTTTCTGCGTGCAAGTAGCCTGTTGTAGCGACGATTTGGATATCGATTGCCATGCTCACATGGACTACATTGGAGTTTGAAGATTTGGGGAAGCGCAGTCCATTTTCAGCGTGGACAATTGCTTTCGGTTTTTCGCCAGCTCTTCCGCGCTTCCCGTTGCTCTTGTTGATCATCAACTGTGTTCCCATCATCAACATGGATTCGTGCTGCTAGGCTGCGCCCATCTTCGAAGGGTGCCTTCCCGGTGACAGCGTGTGGGGGGGGCGGGGGGGCAACACTTCACCAGGAGCCGATTGCAACATGAAAAAACGGTCACTGCAGAGGTCACTCGATTACGCCCTTTGAGTCGCTTTGGCAACGCTCAGGCCTTCCTGACGGGCAGATTCAAGGCGCTGGACTTGTTTGGAGACTCAGGGTGGCCCCCGCTCTGCGAGGATCCCAAGGCCACAGTAGTGGAGCGGGTGGGGTGCCATGGTGAGGCGGGAGCGACGGGCTCTCAAGGAGAAAGCAGGCCAGAATGGAATGGATTACAGGGCTGGTGCTTGCACACAACATCAGGAAGTCACACTGGCTCACCCCACAAAAAATTCATGAAAGATATCAACATCGGAAAGGAGTTCTCATTGTCGCCGGTAAAAGACGTTATCAGTGGAACTCATTAAGAAAGACCACTGACCCCTATGACTTTGTTTTTTCAAGTTGCCTGTAACCACATATTCATTGAGTGGAGATCTGTATATTATCCCTTTGCTAAATAAACACACACAGCGAGGTTGCCCAATACACACTTTCTGCTTCTTCATTCGTTCTTACAAATCACCTCCATTGTGCTGCAGGTAATATTTCACATATAGTCGTCAAACTGCTGTCTTACAAGGTGTCTATTCCAAAACGAAGCAGTGTTTCCTAGAAAGGTGAGCATACATGAAGCAAGTATATGTCGAGTCAGATGTTGTACGTCAACAAAGCTCTTCCCGTCAGGAAAGGTGAGCACAGAGAGGGCTCAAAACATCCTACTTGGCAAGTTGAACGCCTGCCAAACGAACCACACATATGCACACACTCGTCCGCAGTGGTTCAGCGAGACTCTTCAATTGCTGAAACTACTAGTAATTTGTAACAGATGTCCTGACAATTTCGCAGCCCTGAAAAAATCCCATAAAACCAGCAGCACTTCTGGGGCCCTCACAGGGAGCTGAGCGCCTTCCCCATCTATCTCAATAGGCGAACGGACTGAAACCCTCAAACACATTTAAATCCTCAGTCCGTCCATCGGCGACCATTGCCGCTCAAGCTGGGGAGGCTGCCACTCGCCCCCCACCCCGCCAGCGCAACCCCACGCTTCCCAAGCCCCCAGGGCGTCACCTGTCCGCGCCAAGGCACGTGACATTGGCGTCCATCTTCTGCAGCGTGTCCTTCAGCACGTCCTTGCACAGCGCCTGCAGCTGCTTGTCCAGCTCCTCCTGGTCGGTCGCGCCGCCCCCCGTCATCAGCAGGCTCCGCACCTTCCTCGACGCCTCCTCGGGGCCCGGCGCCTGGCCCAGGGCCCCTAGCACGCGGACCACCAGGCCCTCGTAGGCGGCATCCCACGCCTGGTCCAGATCCTGGGTCTGGATCTTGCGCAGGGCCGCATCGAGGAAGCTGGTGTCCAGGTAGTACTGCAGGGCGTGGCTCAGGGTGCAGGAGCGGGGCAGGTGGTCCTGGAACCATGTGAGCAGCTGAAGGACGAGGTTAGCCAGGAGGGTGTTGACGTGTGAGGCGGCGAATTCGAGGGCCTCTGCCTGCGATGGGAGAATCACACACTGTCAGTTCACAATGACCTGCAAGAGAATTCTCCACGTACGGGTGCTAGCCATCCATCTGGACTCTGCGGACCGAGGCACAGGTATCCCAGAGAGTGCACTGGGGTGCCAAACAGCAGGCAGCCAATCATCCCATACAAAAGTGACACTGAGCAATCACTGAATCTTGCTGATGCTCTGCACCAGCTGCAGATATTTTTGCGTGCAGGCTTGAAACAACAGTACTCGATTGTGCACTATTGATCCTCAATCTGGAATGGCCCCCAAAATGTCATCTCCAGAACAGCATTGACAAACAGAGGCGCTGCATGAATAGCAACAGGTGAGATCAGCCCACATCCAAAGCGCCAGTAATCAACGAAGAGGGCTCTGCCTATTCACGATAGGCTCAAAAATTCGCTCTAAGACTTGCACACTACAGCTTCAAAACAGTGTCAACAATTGGCTCAGTGAGAGGGGTGTCCAGTTCATGATCTGAGTGCTCTTAGAGGGCTTGGAGTACAACTAAACGACATGTGGACAAGGGCATTGCTCTGTCTTGTGAACGCAACTGCAAATCCATGTAGCAGAGGACACCAACCTGTATTCCCACAAATGTGTGTATGCACTCCATTGCCCCATAGCTCACAGCAGCCAGAGGCTGCATGCCAAGGAAGCGGTCGGCCCCATGCTGGAGCCACTTGTCAACCGCCCCATTGACCTTGCACTTTTTTGTATCTGTGTATTGCTGCAGCAGCTGCTTCTCAAGCCTCTGGATCGATGCAGTCACTGACTTAACTCGAACATCCTCTGCATACTGACGCTCATCACAGTCCAGGATGTCGCCATAGCAAGCCACGAGCTCTGAGATGAGCCTGGTCCTCACATAGCGGCAGTTTCCCATGAGGGCAAGGAGATGAGCAGGGCCTGGTCGATCCTGCCAGGTCACACACAAAGTAAAGCTGGGCGCTGTTGGAACAGGCACAGAGTCGAGTATTTTAGAACTTGGCTTTAATGTCAGTTCAATTCTTACCGTCTGCCAGCACCGCTGGCAACCAATGTTGCAACCAATGTTGTTTTGCCATTTTCTTTCTTTTCCCAGAAAAGAAAGAAGAAAGTTCAATAAGTTCTCCGTGCTCTGCATCCTGTAGGTCCATCATTGGTACTCGTGCACAACTACCCACAGCGCTCCTTGGACACTTGCCAGCAGCACATTGGTGATGCAGGAAATGGTCACTCACAGAGCAGCACCTAATTCTTTGCAGCAAGAAAGGACAACAATCAATGGGCTCCCCCAAAAGCTTTCTATTCGTCACTACCGACTGCATGTCGCTGACACAAATGGAGCATTGTGCAATGTGAACTTCCATGGAATAGAACTGTCAGCCTAGCCAAGTAAAGAAAAGCAGTGCACCTTGCAGATCATGACTGGCGCACAAACACCCAACCAATGTCTCCTCCATGTTCAAGACAACTGCCCTGCAACTCACCAGGCTGCACAGCACACAGCACAATGGACAATGTTCCCTACAGTTCTCTGAAACTGAGACTCAAAGAAAGTCCTCAACAGCAAAACCAATACCAAATGAGGACCCTCATAATCGGTGTATTCTTGTAATTGCCAAGTTTCTGTCAAGGGCCTGTTACATTTTGCTTTGAGCACTAGTGTCACCACACTGCAGCAAGGCTGGTTTGAAACAGTTGGTTCCACATAGGTAATTGGACGTTTGTATGCATTGCTGCCCACCTGTCTTTGTTGATCAGGCTCCGCAATGCTGTCAGGCGCAGTGCCAGGCCCCTCTGAAACCACGCTGGCCAAGTGCTTGACCGATGTCACAAAGGACTCAAAACAGTTGAAGAAGGCAGTCTCTATCAACTTCTGGGAGGCTGCACTGTTGCTCTCAAACTGGTAGAAGCAGCAAAACAACAGTGCAATTATCAGCACTGTACTGTCAGCATATTTACCTGTGCCAGTCGCCCTCTATCCAGGGGTACGAAAGGCTGCTGGCAGTGCTGGCTGTGTGAGCCCCACACCCCAGAATGCAGACACTCACAACTGCGGTGCAACAAACGTTGGGTTGTACACATTCCAGTCTACATTGAGCTGCCACATTGAGTACCTTTGCAATCAACAGACGGGGAGCTGGCATCTACTTGCTTCCAGCATGCACTCTGGGTTGCATGTATGCACAGGACTACTCATCTGCATCTTTGCTGAAGAAAGTTGAGGACATCTGAAACCGCCAATATTGTGGGCACAAGGAATGTACACACATGACAAGGCTATTACTGCACAGAATATCACAAATAAACATACTTGGCCAGTCAAAGAATGTCTAAACATACAGAACACCTTCTGTCCACCATGTACAAGGTTCTGAAGCACAACAGCATTTGGCTGGCAGAGGCTGAAACTGGCAACTGCCGTGGATGCATCCCTCCAGCAAGAAGACTACAGTAGTAGTGTGGTGTCGTTTTGACATAGGGTACCAACGTGCTTCTGTGGGTGCTATGTCACCTGAGCATGTTCCTCACGGAGGGCCTTGAATTGCTCCATCGCCTGTCGCACGACCAGACCAAGCTTGTCTGGAACTCCTGTGATGGTGTAGCCCCACTTCACACACCCCAGCATTATCTTCCAGTCCTCCCAGTCCACGATCAGGGAGATCTGGTCTTGCAGGTGGGTGGACAGGTGCTTGTAACACATCTCATGAGCTTCACATCCGAGCGACTGCAGGGTGGACGTGCCCAAAGGTGGGCCCTCCATCTCCTGTGCCGCAGAAGTGATTTTATGAGCCCTAGCAGTGGAGCCAGTTGAACTGTGGTTGGTTCAAATAGCAGTCAGTTCAACATTGGCACACATGGGGACAACTGGACATTGTCGAACCTTTTTTGTGCATGAAACTATGCCTGTCGTCGTCCGCAAGATGCAAGGCCTGTACTGTTGGGCACAATGTTCTGTGATCCAAAAGGAAGAAAAGTGTGTGCCGTTTGTGCAAAACTGCAATCAACTCATTTTAAACATTGGATACCCATGTCACGAGCCGATCTTTACAACAACTTTGTTCACTATTTGTGGGACAGCAGCATCAGCTGAGCAGGTGCTAGCCATCAGTGAGCACAGCAGATACACCAGACATGCATGACACAGACACTTGCCTATCTTCAAGACGAAGTCTATTCAACGAACTGGCAACACAGCAACAAAAGGTGACAGATGGGGTCAAGAAACAGCATGATCATATCTTTGACAAAGCCGTTCACCACTCTTGGGAATATTGAGCATTGCTCCCAAGTGGATGCCTTTGTTCGGCCCACATTGTTGTTCGTGTTCATGCCTGCCCTGCACTACGCACTGCCAGTCTGCTATGCCAGAGACAGGTCCAAAATGCAGTAAGACAAGTGTGCCCACCTCCATGCGTGCAACGGAGGTGCCAAGCTCTCTCAATACAGTGAAAGTGTGGGTTGAGAGCAGGGCACCCATGGGCAGTAGCGCTTTCACAGCATGGAGGGCGTGGGTCTTGAAAGCACACATCAGGTTTTCAAGCAGCTGTTCGGTAGATCGGACGTTGCCATCAAGGATAATCTGCAATTCTTCCATGATGTCTGGAACCTGGCAACACAGAACGGCAGCCCGTCTTGGTCGGTAGTGCATGCCAAGACACGGAAGTTGGCGTTCCATTTCCTACCCGTTTTTTTCTTTCTATTCTCCTATTGTTCTCGTACTCTTTCTTTCAAGCGATGCATCAACTTGATAATAAAGCAAATTTGGCACAGAAAACTACAAGCAACGGACATCCATCTTAAGATGAAGCAACACCAGGCACCCTGCTTCCCTGGAAACCCAGTGGCCCTCGTTCAGACCACAATGTGCATTGTACTCTGGGCATCAGTGGGAAATTCTTTACAAATCGTTTGCAAGCGACAGAGCTCATGGCCCTCTTTACAACCGCAGCATAGTCATGAAGTTGAGGCTGTCCACGCACAGGTGCAAATCTGTTTTGTGCCTTATGCAGCGGCGATTTTGGCAAAATTTCCTGCTTCATTGAGCCCCAAAATCTAAGTCCCATTCCTACCCAGATAGTCAGCACATAATCAGTCATAGACAGCAAGAAAAACTGATGCTGTCTTGTGTCTTGTCATCTGCGATCAGCCGAGACACATGCCATACACAGTGTGACCATTCTCATGTTGTATGCAATGGACACAATCACTTCAGCAAACAGCTTGCTGCAATGTCCGCTGTCTCGTTTTGCCTACATAACTGCCCTTGACAGTAAAAAAAGCACCTAAACGAAAAGCCAAGCTAAATTGCGGTGTGATGTGTCTTCACACAGCAAAGCAGGTCAAACAGCAAAGCAGGTCATTCATTGGGAACAACCTGTCCTTGCCACAATACAGTGGGCACCAGTTCCCTCAGCAGCACAACATGGGCCATCACTGACAAGACTGAGGAAGCGAAAGCAGGAAACTTGTGCATAAGCAACTATCATGCACCCTGTGGTTGTCCACCCAAACCTTGGGTGCTGGCACTCAAGATTGATTGGTCACATCCACCCACTCTGACTATTGAATGGCAGTAGTAGGGATTGTTATTTCAAGGTGGTTCATGCCACTGCAGCTGCTTGTTGACTTGCCTGTTTGAGTTTGGAGCTGTTTCTGAATCTCCACAGATGTGGTGCAAACTCCAGCAAGATGGCACAGAGCTCACGGATGTACTGTGCCCAGAGCTTGGAGGCTGCACTGTCCGTCCCCATGGGTGCCTCATCCCAAAGTTTCACCGTAGAGAATGCCCTGGACAGGAACAGCTCCCCACTGCCTTGTGCCTACATAGGCAATGCTGGGGCTTTAATGGCAGCAGCTCTGCATGTGGACTCACACACAAGCATTCAACATATCCAATGGTACCATCGTATGCTATGGGACACACTATGATAAAGGGCGTAATTACAAGTTGTTCGTTGTAGGATATTCATGGACAAAGAACCACAAGGAATGGGTTTTAATGAACACGAATGATCGCACGCACACACAGCAGCCGTTGACAGGATGTTGCCAGGCAGGCTGAACAGAGAAGCATGTGTGCAGAGCATGGGCGGTTGACCAAATTGCAAGTTATGGGGCACATTTTGTGGAAGATGCATCATCCAGACGCCAAGGAAAGCAGGGTACAAATAACGTCTTCCAAAGCAAACACATGGTGTTGTTGGACGTTCCATTGGCAGACAAGCTCTCCACTTACTCTAGCTGAGCGATCTCGCCCAGAGGACTCCTCCAGCTTCACTTCGTGGCCCTGTGTTATATTTTTCATCAGGCCATGCACGTGGTGCTCCACAGCCAACAGCCAGATGCCTGCAGGCTCCACGCCCTGTGCTAGTGGCAGGCCTTCACACTGAAGTTGGAGGATGTAAATCACAAGGTCTTCTAAAGCTTCCATCTCAAGATAAGGGTCGTTCAGAGAATCCAACATCGTCTTGCAGACCTCGGAGGTGCACTGCATTACAAGCACACACACATACACACACACCATTCAAGGCTCCTCACAATGATCACCAAAGTTTCACTGCATCTGTGACTAGATTCCATGAGACATGCACAACAAGGCCATGGCTTGTTCACATTGTCAAGCTTGGTGGCTGTAGTGTCGCTTGTTAATGCCAACACAATGATCTTTGCAAGTGCTTGAATATCAATTCAACATTTACTGGACACACAACAAAAACCCTCTATGGACATAGCTGTATCCTGAACTTAGAGCCAGAGTTCGAAACATGTTTAGCTCATTCCAACATAGGGCAGCATGCCACCCACACCAATCTCCATCCTATTGAACTTCCTGTCTGCCTCAAACAGCATAAACCAGGCACACTGACCTGTTCTCTACTTGCTGTGACATAAAGACTGTGCTATTCACATGGTGCAAAACCCTGTACAGGGTATGTAGTACGTACCCTGTGCAGGGAGCCTGTGGTACATACTTCGTACATGGTTTCCATGTGCAGAACAATCCAGTCTGCATTGTTGGGATTTGCATTTTCCAACAATTCCAAAAGGTGCTTGCTCAAAGTCTACTTTCCTGTGTTGTGAAATGTTCCTGACATGAGTTTGGTTCCGCTCCTTGTTAAACAGCACCAAGCCTTGCCCATGAGCTACAGACAAAGTGTGCATACCCACCTTTTCAACCTCGGCAAACAGCTTGGTCCAGGTGGTGATGTCTGACCCTGAAAGCACTGCTTTCGCCCTCTTGTACTCAGTCACCAATTGTTGGTAGTCCTCGGCCTGGGCAAGGTGGCGAATGCGAGAGGGCAGGACGAACGAAGAGTGAAACCTCTTTAAAACACCCATCACACTCTTTATTTGCTCAAGCTGCTGACTCCTGTCCATCATTGGTGCAAATGCCTGGTGAACGTCATCTTGCACCTGGCCACAACACAAGGTAGGCATGGCATCGTTTGTCATATTCACCAGTAAAAGCACGACACTGCTGACATGTTTAGCTGAAAGTGGGAGCAGCAAGAATGCAATCCCTCTGCCAGACGTGCTGGTGCTTGCTCATCAGTGGACATTGTGACATCCATGCTCGCAAGCGGTGCACAGCTTCTCTCTTCACCCACAAACTTGAACTAACACATGAAGTCGACTTTTCTGCACGAATCTGTCCAGAAACACACATCAATGTTGATGAGTGTGGTTTACATGACAGAGCATTGCTTCAGTCGTTGCTGCTTTTGTGACATCTTGATTGCCACACTGCCAATGTTACCACACACTGCAGCTGCTGAAAGAGTCATTTGGACATCTAGGCAAGTCCCTGAACACTGCACTTTGTTCTGTGCCCTGCTTCTGAACTCCAAGCCCATTCCTGCAACCATAGAGAACCCTACATGATTCGTAACACTGAGGGCTTGCTTCTCATAAATTGGTCACAATGCAGTGGAGCACTTAACGACGCATTTGTTTGCCATCTGCAAAACAGAATTCAAAAGTGCAGTCAGGAACACAATTCACTACCTCAGTGAGTGCGAAGCTCAGTGCCTTTGTGTTGGCCCCCCTATTTTCTGTCTCGGATTTGTGCAGCCTCACATACACATCATCAATCGTGTTTTTGCAGCTGATGAACCTTTCAAAGTTTTCTTTCACCTGGGCAAAACAACACAACCAATCTACTGCAAAAGAGAACAAATAACCACAAGGAAATGAGAAGACACAAGACACCAAAAAGAACAGAAGAATACATCATAGTTGACACTGTCCATCAGGGGGGTGGGGGGGGGAGGGGGGGAGGGGGAGAGGTACCTACAATACATGCATCTCTCAAATTCGCAAGATGAAGTGAGGGATGGGGTGGGTGGGCCATTGGCATGTCTTGAAATACCCAACTATTGGCAGAGTATCGCTGGCAATGATATAGCATGAAGCTGTCATACCAAGCACAGGGTGAAACAAATAATACTGTACTACTGTAGTATGACATTCCATCAGCATCAGAAGATGCAAGTGCACACTCAGCTCAAAATGCCCAGCACATTGGAGACTGACTCTGATATCTTGCCCATGTATGCAACTGTTTTGTCTACCACTTAATCTGTTGCTCATTGTCTTGCTGAATTCTGCACATCCTTGCCACGACCCACCAGCTTTTTGAGCTGTCCTGTGCCCTTCGACAGCTCTGCTTCCAGCAAGTTCATTCCCTGCCTCAACTGTCGCATGGTTGTGTTCTGGGGCAAACACAGAACTCAGTCTCCATGTTTCAGATGCGGTGCAGTAACGATGTGGAAATGCATCAAATGGCCAAAGCAGCACTGGACAACAGCAAACGGAAGAGAAACAAGGTCTCCACAGCTGCCACAACCTGGTGGCTATCAACAGATATCTTTACATCCTGTTGGTGGTGATCAACAGATTGCTCGCCAACAGCACTCTGAAAGATACTCGCAAAAGATTCACCAGATAACATCACAGGAACCAAGAAACGCAACAGATATGCTTTTCCACACACAGCTCGTGCACCATAAAAACAGTGAGGCATGCAGTCTTCATTTCCCCTCTCCATTTCATGCAACTTCTGTGTTGGCCATCCCGCCGAGTGCATCCACATCAGCTTGTGCCAACACGCACTTTCCGCTTATGTCCCAACAGACCGCATCTTGCCACAAGAAAACTGTTGATATTTGGATCCAATTAACCAGATTACCACTCAACATACCACAGCAGACAGCCCACCTTGTGCACTGTTGCCAGATACAGTTCTGGACTGAATGACCCGCTGGAAGGCAGCATCTGCAGCAAAACTACATGTAACATTTTTAGGTCAGCAAGAATGGACAGCTTCCATACTGCCAAGCTTGGAGTTTCAAACTGCGCTGCTGCTCGAGGTGGTCAAGCAACAATGCGACTTTTCCACTTTGCGTACGTGGCACAACTCATACATTACCATTATTTACACACTACCTCTGTTCCAAAATTCGAGTCGCATCTGTAATTCGCGCCAACAGAGGTCACAACAGGTTAGTCATAAAAATTGGCCAAAACAACTTTGACATGCCATATCAAGAGCTTTCCACAGAGCCCTTGAATGTGGCAAACGGCGCCGCCGTTCTCATGATATGTTAAGAAGAGCTGAAACGCCACTTTTCAGACCGCTACGGAATTTGAAGTGTCGACGAGAACTGCGCAGAGGTGGTGGCTAAAAGCCAAGAGGCAGCTTGACTAGTTCAGGAGCATCGACTTGGCTGATGTGCCAGGCAAGCAAAAAGACGGCCATGGTTGCAGTGAATGCATCCAATCGAAGGGGGCCTGTGTGCCAGATTCAGCATAAGATCAAGGATATGGAAGTGGGCGCCAGCCATTCATCAGTGTTTAGGTGGCTGAAAACCACGGGGGTTGTGTCGGGAAGGCGGTGGATCAAACTGCCCTTGACTTCTGACCAGATGCGTAACAGACTGCTCTGTGTGGTGAATCAGGTCGACACTGGGTTGATGTCTTTTCCTTCGGCCTTCAACACAATGCACATTGCTGAGATGTTGTTTTACTTGATGGTTGATGGTGAGCATGCATGCTATTTCCCTAAAGAGGTGCTGGAAGGCTGCCCCACCACCCAACACAAGAACTACATCCCCAAAGAGATGTTCGTGATGGCCAACTCTAGGCCCAACGATAGCCATTGTTTCGATGGCAAGACTGGGATCTAGCGTGTTTGCGGTGAGGAAGTGGCAGAAAAGTCTAGCATGCAACACCAAGAGGGTGATAAGTACCAAGCGGAATGCACAATTGACTCCTCTTGGTACCAAAAATGGTATATAGAGTGCCTTTTGCCAGCTATCAAGGCAAAGATGCCATGGATGCAGAACCAGGAAATTCTTGCCCAGCAAGACGGGCTAGGCCCCACACAGGGAAGTGGAACTTGGAAGCCCTACAAGAAGCTGGGAGGAGCACAGGCTGGTCGATTAGGTTGATTACGCCACCAGCTCAATCACCAGATCTGAACATCAACGATCTTGGCTTCTTTAGATGTTGAAATCCAGAGTGTTGCAGACACAGTTCAGGAAACTAGAAGAGATGGTCGAAACTGTGCACCAAGCGTATGCAAAATATGATGTTGGTAGTCTTGAGAGGGTGTGTTAGTGCCTTTTTGTTGTTTCTGACAAGGTACTTCAGGAGCTTGGAGAAAATGGGTACAGGTTGGAACATACTGGGACAAGGCAAAAGTGGCGATGTGGAGAACTGAAGGCCCAGAAGAAGTGGAGAGGGATGCTTTAGAAAAGGCTGTTAAGCTCCTGTTGTATGGTGATGACTGATGTAACCAAGATTCACACTCACCACAAACCGACCAAGATTCCGAATCTGGTGATGGATTGATTGGCTGAGCTAAAATTGCAAAGTTGTAGCAAGAATGCAAGATGCAACATTGTTTTTGGAACAGAGGTAGTGCATAAATAAGAACTTGCAGTGACAAGGAACTTAGCATTTGCAGTGGCAAGGAACAGTGACACCATCTCATTTGACACAGAAACGATACCAGGCAGTTTGCAAGGGAAGGCCAGTGCTCTTGCTGTAAGATGGTAGGCCTATTGAACATGAACCAATCAACCATCAGCACTGGCGCGTGCTGCTGATGCAACTGTGAGGAAACTGCCCCAATGCAGCGGCTACATATGGTGTGAAGATGGGATCTGGTTCACAGCATTAGGCATACCAACAGAACATCCAATGATGCCACAGACTAGTGTTGCATGTCATTCATCCATCAATGGAAAAGAATAGAGGGAAAAAAGGGTCGTTATAGGGTCCATTCTTGCACCTTTTTGAGATACTCCTGCTCCTTCTGCGGCTTTGCTTTGGCTGCCTCCTTGGGTCGGCCCATGTTGAAAGATGTAACAGCCCGCATCGCCGGCCAGGCCGATTTCCGGACGAGGGTTGCCATCTTGTCAACCTCCTTTTCAGTGGCAGTGCTCTGACAGCAAACCAAACACAGCAACATCAACAAACCAGCCCGTGCATCCAGTGGCAGGCGGAAGTTGCCATGACAAGCAGCAGCACTCTACGATGCAAGGGGTGGGGTGAGGAGGGCTACGGGGGCGTGAGGTAGCAAATTGTCTTGTTGCTCGGGGGGCAGCTGTTGCCTGGTAGCCATTGTGCTCATGTTGTGGGGAAGCAGTATCGCGCACTGCCCAACTGGACAATGACGCCAACGACAGGTACTTGTCTACCAGCCCCCAGAGCTGCTGGCTGAACGATAAAGGTGATCACCCACCACGGTGAGCCCAGGTGGTCCCATTTAGGAGATGCGATTCGTCCCTGTGGACGCAGTTGCAGGATCGCCAGCACAAGACACAACACATTTCGTGTTCATAAGCAGTCTAATCCACAGCAACAACCACCACAGGGCGTCTTCCCACTTTCTATCCGTTGGGCACGTCCTGCACTTCTCTTTCAGTCCGCACAAGGCCCGCCCAACCCCCCTCAGGAGGCAACTGCCGCCCCGCACTCCCAACCGCGAGCCCGCGCTTCCCAACCAGACCCCAAAACATCAAACCGGGTGCACCAGGGTGAATGTGCCGGTGTCGATCATCCCCATCCCCAGTGGGTCCCGCGGCTTCTCCGCGGCCGCCGCCACCGCCGCGGCGGCCGCCCGCCGCGCCTCCTCCTCCTCGTCCTCCGTCGGCATCGCGTAGCTCCGCACCAGCGCCATCACCTCCTCGCGCACCTTGCCCTCCTCGCCCGCAGCCCACGCCACTGGTCCCGGGAACGGCTCCGCGCGCCGCTCCTCCCTCCGCGGACCCTCCTCCTCCTCCTCCCCCTCCGACCTCACCTTTTCACAGCACGGAAAAGAGCCTCGCACACACTTGCTCAGGAGGGGGTGCCCTTTGTATGACCTGCTCCTCTCTCTCTTTGCAACAAATCTCAGCCCTCCGACCTCAATTCGGACAGCAATGGCTGCCTTCAGTGGCTGACAAAAAGTGGGACAAAGACCCTGGACTTGCCACGGAGGGGCCACGACTTGTGAAGTCGAAACCTTTGTACAAAAGGGATCCCAATTCAATGGCAAGCTCTCTCTCTGTCACCTCGGACAGGTCGCTCACGAAGGTTTCCCGTGGCTCCCTGTTGATCATCAGCGGGGTGGAACCCGCGTACTCGATCGTGGAGGCGTCCGTGGACCCCCCCCTCGCCACGACGGCCGATGGCGCCCCCGCCGTCTTGTCATTCTCTTGGCCGTCCGCCGCATCCAGCTCCTCGCTCTCCCACCGCCCGCTGTCCGCCCCGGGGATCCCGTCCGAAGCGTGGGACGGGTCCGGCGACGAGGCCTTCGAATTTCGGCTCCTGGATTTCTTGAACATGGGCGCAGACCGCGGCGGCTGATCAGCGCTGCGCAGCAGTGGCTCGCCGTCAGATCGACCTGGGGGCCATATGCAGGGGGTGGATCACCGCGTCCGGCGGCGTTGGCCGTTCCGATGGAAGCCCGGAAGGCTGTTCGCGCCGGAGAACTTCGAGTCTTCCAGGGGCAGGTGTTTTCCAGGGGCTTGGTGTTGCCCGGGCGCGCTGCTGCCGGCTGGTGTATGTCGCACCAAAACGCACCTTCACCTCGTACTACCCGTCCCAGGGATTGTGTGGGCAATCGTTGCACTATTCCCTCGGTCGTCTGCAAACCATCGTCCCAACCATACCAATTGGCAGTGGTGTGACACGATGAGAAAGAAATGCGGGAATTTTTGAATACCTCCTCCAATACCGGTATTTGGTGGTGCCAGTACATTTTAGTTTGTTTGCAACATATGGAAGCCAAATGAGAGAATGAAATTGTTGGGTGTGGGGCCTTGACTTTTTGTTCACTCTGATTTGCATGTTGTCGTCCACAATTGGTAGTTGGCCTTCACTCCAACCCCTTCATTGGTGGATCAAAATATTGAGGACACCTTGGCTGATGGAATGCTATGCCTATAGATTCTTTACCAATGAATAGATGAGCTTCACTTCTAGAAATGGCCAAGAACGGGGTGGGATGGGAATGCAGCGACCCGTACCAGGACAATGTGCAATCCCTATAATAGGAATAATTCCTGCTTCACCGCAAACCAAATGGTCCCAACTGTTGTCGTTTGGCTCTCATTAGCTGGAGGGCTAAACTCAGACCTAGCAATTACCCAATAAGGCGGCCTGCTTGGTGGCAAGCAAATAAAATGAAAGGGTGCGGGAGCTAGAAATGCTTTGGGTCGTATACACGCCCGTTATCGCCCATGGCGAGATGAGGTAGTGCCCTTGCACATTGAAGGCTATTTTACAGGATTGTAGTCACCAACTCAAAACCTAACCTTGACTCCCCTTGAGTAGCGGCAAAGAACGAACAGATCCCTTGGCCCAAGTCCAAGTTCAATTAGTGTATCTATAAGTCTCCAGAACCCAAGAGGCCAGGGGCCAAGAACAAATTCTACTGTCAGTGGCTTCAAACTACCCTCTGCTTGGTCGCTGCCCACCCCAAGGTCTTTGCATTATCAGAAACATATTGATTATATTAATGTTCTTTGTAGTGGTTCACGTGGGCACCATGCTGGACCGGAAATGGGCGCCTCCCAGACCTGGGGCATACAATTACCAAATTGGTGACTTTTTGCACCAAATTTCTGATTGCTCGCACCAAATCCCTCTAAAACTAACCCAACCTAGACTTTAAAACCTAAAATATAACCGTAATTCTACCTTAAAACCAACCCTAAAATTCACCCTAAAACCAAACCAAAAACTAAAATTAAGGTTAGAACATAATGTGGACCTGATTGGGTGCAAGCAATCCCCGATTTGGTCTCCTTCACCCCCACCACCCTCACCCCCTCTCATTCCCCTACACGACAAGACTTACACTCGCAAATGTATTGGTGTCCATCACTTCACTAATACAAGACTCAATTGGCGACCCACTTGAAATGTGCCCATTTAGATTGGGGCATTGTACAGCTCCTCTGGAGCAAAGGGGTGGTCATGCCTTGGTCACACTCGGGCTGATGACGCCCCTCCGTGGTAAAAAATATACCGGTACTGTGCGTCTAGGTCACGGGCAGTAATAATCATCTAACCAAAGAGGCAGTAGTCCCACTCAGTCGGCAACTGGTACATGTCCACTCGGATTACAAAATCGTGGGACGGCCCACATCGGCCTCGTTGGGTTGCATGGGCACCGACCCCATGCCATCGGCAGGCGTCAGCATCCACAACTGCCATGGGCATGCGTTGCCTTCCCAATGAGGCCCATGATCGGCTAGGCCGGGGGCTGACTGACGCGTCGGGCTATGGTGATACGTGAAGGTTGTTGGTGTGGGGCTCCTACCCTCTTTGAGCGGCGGACCCACCTCGCCGGGCACCTAGGTCCTTACGGGGACCTAGGCGGGACCACCCCAACCTATTCCCATATCGTATAATATCGTTAAGTGTGTTGGGGTATTTCACCATACCTTGGGCAAGGCGTCCCCCACACCAAGTAGAGGTGGCCCCATCTGTCCGTCCCCAACAGAATTTGTTTGGCTCCGTTAAAATTCTGTACAATCAACAGAATTTATGAGGGAGCCACAGAGAAAAAAAGCGTTTTACAGAAACGGGTAGGGCCATACTGACGTC